AAAAAAAAAAAAAAAAAAAACAATTTTTAAATCAAATAGAAAATAATTCACTTTTAATACTTTTGATTTTTATTTTGCAAAATATAAATTTTTCAGGTAGTTAACAGGTTATGTATTATTTTTTTATAATATTAACTCATTCATTATTTGACTGAAAATAGTACTTAATGTTTTAATTTAAATAATTTAAAAATTTATTACTCTAAATATAATTTAAATCATTATTATATAAATTTATTGTATTACATACTGTAATTTTTTTTCATTATTGCAAAACTTCTAATTTAATTATTTAAAAAATGGAAGATGATGATGAGTATCCATTTTAGAAATTATTCAAGAATATTTTAGTATTGTTTATTATCATTTAATTTTATGATAAAATGTGTTATTTCATGTTCTATAGTATAAAATATTATGTAATTAAAAATCTTAAAATTAATTTAACAAATAATTTAAATAATAATTTAACAAATCTTATTTATGTAAAATGCTTAAAGTATAATTAAGTTTTCATTTTTGTAAAAATAATATAAATGATGATAACAAAATTTCAAAAATATTTGTAGTTTTGTTATATATTTTTTACAAAAATGCAAAAATTTCTAGTTAGAGATTACAGAGAGAGCCACAATAAAATTTACTTTACATACAAACAAAAAACATCTTGTATCATACCAGCAATTAAAATTTAATGAACTTCAACGTTTTTAATCCAGTTGAATGGATATTCAGATGCCAAACACAAAAAATATCTTGTGTGTGCATATTTGAATACTGTGCTGCTTTTGTTAATTTTTTTTTACTTTAAATTTTGTGTGTTCTATTTCGTTTTGTACATTCTGCAACTGAGGATTATCCATTAAACTGGATCAAAACTTTGAGTTCATTAAATTTTAATTGCTGGAGTGATATAAGATATTATTTCTTTTTTTGCATTTTAACTAAATAATCCTGTTTATAGGTATGGTATTTAATTCATCATAGTAAAATATCCAAAAGTTAAAATATACAATTTATTCAATTCTTTCTTCTACATATGCATTTCAGGTTGAACTCTCAACCCCTCTTCAGTGCTATATAATTTGTACATATTCATAAAAAAACAACCATAGGTGGAGATTCAATTTCAAGTACAAACACTGGATATGCATCTTGGATAAAATCATAAACACTGGATATGCACTTGTACTTGAAATTGTACAAATTATATAGCACTGAAGAGGGATTGAGAGTTCAACCTGAAATGCATATGTAGAAGAAAGAATTGAATAAATTGTACATTTTAACCTTTGGATATTTTACTATGCTGAATGAAATACTATACCTATAAACATAGGATTATTTAGTTAAAATGCATAAGAATACAGCAAACCTATAATTAAGAAAAAGTTGGCAATAAATTTAAGATTGTGATAATGCTTGAAACAATTATTTGTAGCATAATAATAATACTGCATTAAATTTTTTTCTTTTTTATGTGGAATAGATATAATATTTAAAAGTAGAAATATATATGTTTTTATCTTAATTCAATATTTTAAGATATAAAAATAATTTTAATTATTATTTTTACAAAATAATAGTTCAATTTTTTTTAACATTTATTATGATGTATGTGGAAATATCTAAATATTACTGGTATATTTTGGCATAATTTTGCAAAAATCAGTTTTTAGATTTTAAATTATTTAAGAATACTATTCTGTCTTTAAGAATAAAATTTTGTTTAACTTTTAAAAATGTTTGATTTAGAGAATTGTCAGATTATATGTATTTTTTGTAATTTACTTTTAGCCATGTATAGTTTTAGAAATATTGACAGACCCACTACAGTATGTCCAAGATTATTTTATTTTGCACAGTGTGATTTCTTTAATGGATCTCTGCATTGGAAATTATGTTTTACCTCAGTACAGAGTAAGTAGTTTGTTTTAATTTAAAAATGTAAAAATATGCATTTTTTTTCAAATAGTTTAATCAAAAGTAAAATTCTTTTAGTTATAAATAGTAAAATTTAATGTGTCTTATTGAATTTATGTAAATAATAATATCTTTATAAAAATTTGTAAAGATATTTTATATAGATATTTTATTGTGAACATTATCAAATCTACTAAATAACTTTTCAATCATAAAGCATAATAACAAATAACAAAAATTTCTAAATATAGAATAAGATTTAAAGTTTTTCAGATTTAATTTGATCTCAACAATCTGATCCAGACACTTATAATTTATCTGCTACCTGTGCTAAATTATAAAATTGTATTGTTTCCATCCCTCACCCTATATTGTCCATTNGTGCTTTTACAGTCTATTGAAGTTCAATAAATTCAATGACTAATAATTTATTAATATTGTCACATCTCTAAAAATAAATAGTAAATTTTTCATTTATTTGGGTGTAACATTATGCCACAATATTATGCCATATATTAATATTTAAAATCGTATTATTCCAATTTTAACAATCTGCTGCTAAAAGTGGCATAATATGCATTAAATAAGCATCGGATGATATGATGCCATTTAGTATCTGTTGTAGTAAGTGTTAGATGAAATGTGAATACATAGTGTATACCAATAAATACTTATTGTAATTTTTTTATGTTTGATTTACTCACAAAATAGAATATAATCTTAAAATCAGTCCAAGGAAATTATATTTTAGTCATTAATAAATTTTAATGTATTATTTTTTTTCTTTCCTAGCTGTTATATATAACAGAGGGAAAGTATGACAATAAGTCAAAAAACGACCACCAATATTTTTACATTTTTGAACTTGGAACACCTTGAAACATTGAGAAATGCAAAAAAATTTGGGGGGGTAATTTCTGTTTATATGGATGTTAGTGTGCGTGTGGGGAGCATGATTTTGTTCACCCTGTTTAAAGCTTAATAACCCCTGTGCTTGTTTGATTTTACGACGTTAAACAAGTTTTTTCCTTATATAAATAAAATTTACGAATTAATGTAAATAAAATCATGAAATTTTTTTATATGATGTAGAAATGACAGCTAATTATGTCATTCATTTTATGCAAAGTTTTTCATTTTTTGTAAGTGAACAAAGTGTTTTTAATAAAAAGTTTATGTAATTGTGTGCAAAATGGTCTTAAATAGAATTGGCCACATATTACATAAAGGAAAGGGGAAATGCGGAGACCTTAATAGGGCAGGGAATAATGTCATAATTGGTCAGGGAAAGATTTAAATGAGAAAACATTTCATTGCTGTACTGAATTATTAGTGATTTTAGTTTTGTAACTTTGGATATATCTAGGTATATGAATTAGTAGTAAAGAGTTTTATTTTAATAATGTTTAATTACAGCTTTGTTTTATTGAATGTTTATAATTAATTTTTATATTATTTAGGTGTTAATGTTGATCGTTGTCCCATAATAAATAAATATAATGATTGTGAAAAAATGTTAATGAAATTTGAAAATAGTTGCCTTCTGGAAAAGGAAGATGTAACAAGTTGTTGGAATGAAGAAATTTTTTCAATTGAAGATGGTCTTTTTAAAGTTTTGGATGTTCTTATAGTATTCTTGCATTATAAATGCAATTATTCAAAAGAAGAACTCTGTGATTTGATTTTACTGTTAAGTTGGATTAGTTTAGATACAAAGTTCATTGGTAAACAGATCAAAATTAAAATTAAAGAATTAATTGATATATGTTTGGAGAGGATATCATCATCAGATTGGCCAGATAAAGTAAATTATTAATATTTTTTTCTATATTAACTTAAGATTTTATGTAATACACTTTTAATGAAATTGTTTGTACATTATGTCATTTTTTTTTATAGATGAAATTTCTTACAGAAGAATTGGCACAATTGGGAAGTCACCACAGAAATACTTTATATGTAGTTCAGTTATTGCCAACAAGTAATCGTGGTGTTTCTTTGCAAAAAGCTGTTAGTTTTCTAGCAATTCAATATTTATTGGAACTAGAAGATTCATATTTTGTTGCTGATGTCACAGTATGTATATATTGAGATCATTTTTTAATTTTACTTTCCCAGCTGTTATGTATACATAACAAGAGAAAGTATTGGAATTGTCAAATTTGACACTCCAGGTTTTTTAATATCTCCATGTTTTGAGACTTCTAATGCAAAAAATGTTAAACAAAAAAAGGAAAAAAAATTCCATATATGTGTTAGTATTCTATTTTGGACCATATATTCCATATATGGTCCAAAATACACACCATACGTATGTATGGTGTCTATTTCATTTAATATCTCAGGATTAATATCATGGGGTAAAGTTTAATAAATGAAATTTGGCTTGCTAACTTGTATATAAGGGGCATTGATGCAATTAAATTTTAGTGGTTAAAGGTTGTAAGGTTGGGGAGTAGAGGTCATATGTCATAACTCGAGAAGTCAGACTTAATGAAGATTTTACTCATTAGTATTTACAACATTTTATAAAATTTGTCATTACCCCCAAAATTAAGTTTTTTGCCATTTTATAATAATATAATACAGTGGTGCCTCGTATAATGTATGCCTCAGACAATGGACTTTCTGTTTGGCTGTTACGTGACTCGAGCAACGGACTGGCTGCGAACAACGGACTTTCCGTTCGGCAGTTACGCAAGGCAAAGAGTGGACTTTCTGCAAACAAGTGCGAATGATATTTCCATTCTTTTGCTTTTGCCAATGACAATCTGCTATTTTTATAATATATTACTATTATTAGAATATATTATTACTATATCTGAAGTACAGAGCTCCCGTTGGGATTCGGCTTGCTCCCTTGTTTATTATGTACAGTACATCACCTCAGTGCAGGCTATTTAGATCTATTCAAGTGTTGTGCAAATCATGGCTTCTAAAAAAACAGAAAGGTGATTTCAATTGAAACAAAGCAAGAAATCATCAGAAGGAGTGAAAGTTGACAAAAACTTCCTTGTCAAATGGAGAGAGGTTCAGGAGTTTACAACACTCATTATCCAAACAGAGCTGAGGCCAACAGGATCAATGATCTCTACAATGACACCCTTGTCCGTCATTTCTGACAGGTGTTGAAGAAGAGAGAGAAATGGACCACCTTGGACATGTTTTTCAAGAAGCCAGCTGCCAAAAAAAAGGATGGAACAAGAGGAGTTAATCCTGCAAGCTCCGGTAGCCTCTCCTGAATCTGACTCCAATTAAAAAACAATAAAAAGAGACCTGTTGCAATGTGTAAAAAGTGTGTGTCTGTATGAATGTGTGAAGAAAGTGTTCCTCCACCTCCTCTTCACAACATCTGACTACCCGGCATAATTGGTGACTGCTCCATTTTCATTTTTTATGGTACAGTACGGTTATTTTATTCTGTGGAACGAATTATATGTTTTAACATGTATTTCTATGGGAAAATGCATTTCGTATAATGGACTTTTCACTTAACGGACGTGCACCTGGAACGGATTAAGTACGTTATACAAGGCACCACTGTTTTTTAATTAATACAGTAGAGCATTGTTTATCCGAAAGAATTCCAGTAGGCAAATTTAAATTTTCACCAGTGCTGTCGCGCTGCAATCTTTGGCTATGTCTTGGGCTACTCAAATATTTTATGTTTTTGATACTAAATTAACTTCTGAAGTATAATTTTTTATTGTTTTTATATTTTTCAATATATTTGTTTTGTTTGTACAAAATAAAAAAATAATTTTTAATGATACAATAGTCTTCGTTAGAGGTCCGGGAGACACAACACAAATTTTAGTGGGAACGACTTCAGGCTTAATCCAGACGAAGACGACACAGATTAATCGCCATAGAATTTTTAGGAAAACTGCGTTTTGACCTTGATATTCGGGGTTTTTATAGTATTTCTTCCTTGAATCTCACCTTACGATTTGTCCCGCGTCCCATTCCTCGCTTCCCGATTGTTTTATTTTTTGTCTCCAGGTGAAAACCGAAACCAGATCAGGTCACGAGAAAGGTTTGTTCCGAGGCGTTTATTTGACACCTGTTCGTTGACTCTGATCGGAGATTGTTGATAAACCTACAAGCCTTTCGCTCATAATTTAGCCTATTGTTTCTGCTATCTGTCATTTTAGAACTTTAACGCTCGTATGTGATGTTTTATATACCCGTCAAATCTTTCCTTTTTTCCGAAAATTTAACGTAGATCGACTGTTTATGAGTACGTTTTCCTATATTTTCATTAAAGAAATCCCATTTTACAAATAAAATTACAAAAATACTGACGGCTAGAACGGATTAATTGTATTTGCATTAATTTCCATGGGAAAAATTGCTTCGGTTAATGAACAATTCGGTTAACGAACGGACTCGTGGAACGGATTACGTTCGTTAACCGGGGTTCCACTGTATTTGTCTGATCAAATTCACATTTGGTATTTACTTTTGCAACAAGTTTGACATAACAAAACTACTTTCATTTGTAGCGGTGCCATCTGTGGGCTAGACAGAACTTTTCACCTTGCCTACATATGTCTATAATAAATATGAAGATTACTCAAAAAGAAAATATTTATTCTTTTAGCAAAATTTTATATTTTTATCACAAAGAAAAATTTTTTCCTCTTACACGAACTTAGATTCTTAAACTTTGTCCTACTATATGTATTTACAGCTATTTTTTGCTGTTACAAGTTAATTTTTCATAGGCAAATCATTATTTTTGGTTGAGAAAGTAAAAAGGAGTCGGAGTCAGGGGGGATTTTTGACAACTCGAACTTTGACTCCACAGCCCTGTTTGTACTGATATTCAATATACCATTTTAAATAGCAAGAGTTAACAACAAAGATTTTTATTTATTATCATCCTAATATTTGTATTCCCGATGCAAATTTTTATTGAGATGTAAACATGCAAGAATAATCCACAGATGTATATCCAATAATCCACAAGAATAATCAAGAGTATTTTGTATATTATTTTTCGCTGTTTAGCAGTTGATTTGCAATGCAGTTGTCATTTTTAGATTATTTTTAATTAATGGAGAACATTATTATTATTATTATTTATATTTTTAGGAAGCACTTCAAGAAATGTGCAAAATAATTATGGATACATTTGGAAAAATTAGAGACACTTTTCAGTGTTTAGAAGGACCAAAAGTTTGTATATAAAATTTTAAAATTTGTTTTTAAATTGATTTTATCATTTGAAACATTTTTCTTTTTCTCTAGGTCAAAAGTTTAATAGCAAGACTCAACAATAAATGGAATACAATTATTCAGAATTTGCCAAATAATGACGTATGTACTGCATATTCTTTTAATTATTATTAAAAAAACGGGAAACGCCACTAAGTATTTCCCAGAAAATACCAGGATTTGATCATTTTTAGTTTTAGTTTAGAGATACTTTTAAAAAAATAAGAATAAAATTCATTTAGATATATAATAGTAATAATGTGAATATACAATGTTCATATCTTTTATTTTTAAAATAACTTTTTAGAAAATCAAAAGCACAGATTAATTTATCAGCAAAATAGCTTTTTAATTTTGTTAGCAAGCCTCCCAAGATGTACTGAAAATGACAGATTTTTCTATTTTTCTATGTTGGTTTAATGAACAACAACTAATATTACATAATTGACATTTTTACTCTTTCCATCTTTAAGGTGGCCTTTTTTGAGCCCATCAAGGGTTCAGCCATTATTATTTTGTATATTTTTTCAATGTGCAGGATTTATTGATGTGAAAAAATACTGTAAGGTCTTCACATATAAATATTTTTTCAGACTTAAAAGGTTTAACAATCCTTAATGTAGTGAACTGATTAAATTATTTGGATCTTATCACTGTTGAGATCTCTTCAAAAATAAATTACATATATGTTATGTTGTAATTTATTCAATGAAAGGTGTCTAATTTATGTATATAAACACTATCAAAAGTATCCTGGTATTTTTCTATTTAAACATTTTCATAAACAATGGGAAATTTATTAATTGTGCAATTAATTAGTTTTTACAAAATGTTAAAATAAAAATGTTGTTTTATATGTAATTCTTCTGTATTTATACCTAAAAATAGGAAATCTTGCATCCCTTTATGGTAAATGTAATTGAGATTATCTAGCTAATTGTGGCATCAAAAAAATTATAACTTAAGACTAAAACGTTGGTACTAGAAAATCTATTTACACAAAAGCAGCTAGCTCTATATGTTGCAAATGCATTTATTGATGGAAAAATTTTAAAAGAATTCTTATTTCAGATTCACTTTCTGAAGACAAAAATGAAATGGAATTTTAAGTTGTTATTAAAGCCGTAAAATTATCACAAAATACATTAATGCAGGGAATTGAACAAATGAATAAAAGTTAAATTTATTAATAGTTATTGTATAATTGCATGTTTTGTTTTGTTTTCTTTACTAACTGGTAGATATATTTGGTGTAGCCAAAATGCTTATTTTTACTCATAAAATCATAAAAAATCATTCGCTACTACTATTGAGCACTAACTTCCCTCAAAAGAAAGTGCTAGAGATTTAAAAAATTTTTGTCATTCAATTTAAAATACATTAATTTAATTATTACTAATGGTACAAAAGTAATGACTGGTCATATGAATTTATATGGATTTATTACATAGTGTCAGAGTATCTAAAGTTTTTAAGTTGTTATTTAATAATTTATCAGCAATTATTAGCTAGTAAAAGAATGAATAAAAAAAGGTTAAAAAGTGGGGATAACATTTATAAAATTGTTAATTTGATTTAAAGAAAATGTATTCAAAAGCATCTTTTCCAACTTTGAACTCTGTAAACAACAATCAGAATTATTGTTGCTTACAGATATGAGATGGCTGAGTAGAAGTAAATTTTTACAAAGATTTTACAATTTGTTAAGTGAAATAATAATGTAGGAAGATGCCTTTTAAAAATTATGTAGAAAGCTGTTGATATACATTTTTATGTAATGTACAGGGATTGGACAAAATAATTTGAACACCCTCCATTTTGTATAGTCGAATTGAACTTTTTCTGAAACGTGCAAT